CCTGGCAAGTGTCGTCAGCTTGACACAAATAAAATCTTACACAGAATTCTCGACAGGTTTGGACGTTTCTTACATCCAAAATAAGGACAAACATGGTCGAGCAAGGAAACGTGGCTCAATTTAAGTTCTTATCAGAGGGAGGGAAGTCCTGGAGGCCGCCTGGAGGCGTCACCAAGGGCCCAAGCAGACACTGCACCAGGCCCTTCCCTCCCATGACTCACGCCTGCGTCCTGGAGGCAGCGGGCTCCCAGTAAAACCTGAAAGCGCTGTTTCGCCTAAACCTCCTCTCAGACAAGGGGTGTCGGGTCCCTGCTCTGTCACCGCTCCTATGAGAAGGTCAAGGAGGAGCCTCCGCAATGGACCAAGGACCACCCCGTGGCCTGGCACCAGGAGGGTTTCCGAGCAGCAGTAGGCAGACGGGGGTGGCGGTGCCCCCAGACGCACCCAGACGGCATGGGTGCCTGCAGACACGCCAGTGACCGTCAGATGAGGACACACCGGACCAAGGGCCACTCGAGCTGGAAATGGCAGTCACGTCTGACACAGGCAGCACCGCCCAGTGCAGCCACCTGGGCCCTGCGGCCGGGCCCCGCAGGGTCAACTACCAAGGAAGAGACCCAAAGGGCCTCGCTCAGCTGACCAGACGGTCCCACTGAACCAGCACCCCTCCGTTCCGCACGTCCTGGGGCCAAAGTTCATCCCGTGCCGTGTGCGGCCGGGTTAGGGAGCCGGCGGCCGCGAGCCCCTCCTGAGCAGCTGTCTCCCCACCAGGAAGCTGTCTCCATCCGGCCCGGGGGACAGGTGGAGGGAGCGGGTGGCCAACGTCTCCGTGGAAGAGTAAGCCAGCTCATACCCACCTGATGGAATGCAGCGCATTGAATAAACAGTGACCCGATCTACCTTCAGTGACAGAAACGTGCTTGTGATGCGAACAAAGCACACAGCAGCAGGTGAGAGGCCTGGGGATGACCGCTCAACTCTGCGCATTTGTCCACATGCACGGCACTGCTTGCCGGAGAGCCCGTTTACTGCGTGTACATTACACCTCAAACGGAGATCATACAATCGTCTTTACAGAGGGATCCAGCCGGGCCCCGCAAGGGTCAACTACCAAGGAAGAGACCCAATGGGCCTTGCTCAGCTGACCAGAAGGTCCCACTGAACCAGAACCCCTCCGTTCCGCACGTCCTGGGGCCAAAGTTCATCCCGTGCCGTGTGCGGCCGGGTTAGGGAGCCGGCGGCCGCGAGCCCCTCCTGAGCAGCTGTCTCCCCACCAGGAAGCTGTCTCCATCCGGCCCGGGGGACAGGTGGAGGGAGCGGGTGGCCAACGTCTCCGTGGAAGAGTAAGCCAGCTCATACCCACCTGATGGAATGCAGCGCATTGAATAAACAGTGACCCGATCTACCTTCAGTGACAGAAACGTGCTTGTGATGCGAACAAAGCACACAGCAGGTGAGAGGCCTGGGGATGACCGCTCAACTCTGCGCATTTGTCCACATGCACGGCACTGCTTGCCGGAGAGCCCGTTTACTGCGTGTACATTACACCTCAAACGGAGATCATACAATCGTCTTTACAGAGGGATCCCATGCGTGTGTGTGTGTGTGTGTGCGCGTGCGTGTGCACACATCAGAAAGGCTCCACGCCCAATGGCAATAGTGTCTGAATCTATTGTGATTGCAGATGACTTATTTTTCTCTTCTTGCTTCAGTGTTTTAAGTTTTCCTCAGATGACTAGGTATTGCATCACTATTGTCAAGTCTGAATAAGGAAGCCCAAACGCTACTTGCGCTGGAGGAACGGCTCATTGGATAAGGAGAGGAAGGAGGGCAGCCCTCCCCACGCCCTGTGCCCGAATGGTGGGAGCTACAGGCGGAGGCTGGTGCTAAGACCCCCCAGGAGGTGCTCAGCAGTGGTTCTGAAGTGAAGGACTGAGTACAGTGGGTCTTCTCAGCACAGACCTCTCGTCTAGTAATACAGTGCCACTCTCATTGGAGACGCATGTAACAGCAGCGCACACGCATGAATATTCTAATCTCCACGAGAGGGACCGCCCACTAATTGCTTTCAGACCAAGCAGCGACCACATGCTCAAATCTGGGCTCCGTCACTTTAACGTCTCCTGCTCCTCACCCCGTCTCCTTCCTGTTAATGTAGACGGGGAGGTAGATGACCCTGGAGGCGTGGCGCCACGTAACCGTTAGGAAGACAGCTGACGCACATCAGGTCGACAGGCAATAAAGAAAAGAACAGGCAGTGACCTCCGGCAGACCTGGCGGCGGCCCCTGTGCTGAGAAACCGCAGGAAAAACAGCCATCGGCCAGTCCTCCGTCTTCAAAGACACTGATGCTCCATTGAGCTGATCCCCTTCCCGGAATGCTGCCGGCTACACAGTCAGCCTGTGTGTGTGTGTGTGTGTGCGCGCGCGCGCGCGTAGTGTATGTCATGTGTATGGGAGGGTATGTGGTGTGTGTATGTGTGTGTGGTATATATGTGTGATGTTTGTGTGCATGTGATACATGTCATGTGGGGGGTATATGTGGTACATGTGTGTATGTGATGTGTGTGGTGTATGTAGTACATGTGGTATGTGTGGGTGTATGTCATGTGGGGGCATGTGGTATATGTAGTGCATGTTGTGTGTGTGATGTGTGTAGTGTATGTGGTATGTGGCATGTGTGGTGTGTGTATGTAATGTGTGTGGTGCATGTGGCATGTGTGGTGTGTGTGTGTAATGTGTGTGGTGTGTGTAGTGCATGTGGTATGTGGCATGTGTGGTGTGTGTGTGTGTGGTGTGTGTGGGAAAAAACAGCCTGTGTGTGTGTGTGTGTGTGCGCGCGCGCGCGCGTAGTGTATGTCATGTGTATGGGAGGGTATGTGGTATATGTGGTGTGTGTATGTGTGTGTGGTATATATGTGTGGTGTTTGTGTGCATGTGATACATGGCATGTGGGAGTGTATGTGGTACATGTATGTGTGGTGTATGTAGTGCATGTGGTATGTGGTGTGGGGGGTGTATGTCATGTGGGGGCATGTGGTATATGCAGTGCATGTTGTGTGTGTGCTGTGTGTAGTGTGCGTGGTATGTGGTATGTGTGGTGTGTGTAATGTGTGTGTTGTATGTGGTATGTGGCATGTGTGGTGTGTGTGTGTGGTGTGTGTGATGTGTAGTGTATGTGGTGTGTGGTGTGTGTAGTGTATGTGGGGGGGGGTGTGTGGGGGGGAGGGGGGTGTTGGACACCGCATTGATCTGACCAAGATCACAGAGCGGGTGGCTGGGATTTGGGGGCCTCCTCCGCAGGCTCAGGAACACATTAATACCCTGGGGAGATCTAATGCAGCGACTCAGTTCTCGTTTTTCCTAACAATTGCTAAGCTCTGTAACACAGTTTAGACAGAGAGGTCTTCAGATCATTTTCTCTGACCCCTGCCCCCGCCTTTGCAAATGAGAGAAGCTGCCAGCACCGCGCAGGCAGCTGGCGGCTCTGGCTCTCCCGTTGGAATGGTGGGGCCCTGCCCTCGGGGGACATGTCCGTGTGCTTCCGCCCAAAGTCGGGACAACCCGGAGCTTCCTTCCCGAACAGCGTGCTCGCCTCCGAGACCTCGGCAACCACATCCCTGCCCTCCGGCAGGAAACGCCGGTGCGGACCCAGCCACCAGGGCGCAGGCTGGCTGCTGGGCTGCCGCAGGCACGAGGTGTGATCCGCGGGAGAGGCTGCTCGTCAGAGGCTCGCTAAGGAGGAGCCAGCGGCCCGGACACCAGATGGATCCTGCTGGCATCGCGAACAGAGAGCACCCTGATGGGCAGCGGGGCACGGAGACAGGCCCCCCCGGCCTCCAGCCCCACACTCGCAGGACCCCACCGCTTCTGCACCTGTCCGGCCTCACGGCCCAGCACCATCGTCCCCACGCCAGGCCCGCCCACCTCTGCGCCTGTGCACGTGCTGTCCTCCACCATCGCACCGCTCCCCACGGGATCCCCCTGGGGAACCCCTCCTTGAGAATTCAGCTCTGCCATCGCCCTCTTCACAGAGGCCCTGTCCCTCCCCCTGGCCCCTACCCCAGCAGAGTCTGCACCTCTTCCCCTTCCGGGCGAGGGCATCCCCCTCCCGTGGCTTCGCCGGTGCCCGTTTGCACAGTGGGTTTTCTCACTAGACTGGGAGCTCCTTAAGGAAAGGATCCGATGGGCTCAGCTCCAAACCCAAGCTCTAGGCCCGCAGTGTTGCCTGTCCATGGAGAAATGGACAAATGGCTTCTGAGGAAGTGTGTTTGTTTTCTTTTTTGTCTTTATTGATTTCAGAGAGGAAGGGAGAGGGAGAGAGAGATAGAAACATCAATGATGAGAGAGAATCATTGATTGGCTGCTTCCTGCGTGTCCCCCACTGGGGATCAAGCCCACAACCCAGGCATGTGCCCTTGAACGGAATCAAACCTGGGACCCTTCAGTCCGCAGGCTGACACTCTATCCACTGAGCCACACCAGCCAGGGTCTGTCTGTTTTCTATTACTAAATCACAAATCAGCACAAGTTCAGCAGCGAAACAATATCCATCTCTTATCTCACAGTCGCTGTGAGTGAGGAGGCTAAAGTCCAGGTGTGTCCCCCGGGCCACGTGCTCATCCAGAGACCCAACCGGGGCAGAGCTGCTTTCAGATTCATATGGGTTGTGGGCAGAATTCATTTCCCTGCGAGGTAGGACTGAGGACCAGCTCCGGCTGGATGTCAGCAGGAGGCACCCTCCACCCCCTGCCAGGTGGCTTCCTGCTTCACCAGGGCCACAAGGAGGGTCGCCGGTGGCAGAGTGGCTTTACATAATGTTCCGTCCTCACTGGAGTGAGAACCAAGCGCTAGGTCCCACCCTCTCCAGGGAAGGGATCATACAAAGGATGATGGTGGCAATCACGGACCATCCAGAGCGTGTCCCCACATGAGAAGAGAGGGGGTCTTGCCGGTGAAGTCTTTACTGGGTTGTCATTTCTGTTTTGCTTCTCCTCACAGGTGGCATTGCTGCTGCTGGCAGACAACTTGTGGGACAAGGTGCGGCTGCAATGGCCCCAGGTCCTGGGGAAGGAGAATCCGTTCAACGCCCAGATTGAACAGGTGTTTGGAGACCAAGGGGGACACTGAGTCCCCCGGGGACATGGGCTCCTGGGGGGCTTAGGGAAACGGAAACTTGGGTAAACTCATCCGGCGCGCAGTTCCAGGGCTGCTGTGCCACAGACTCACAGGCCTCTCCCAACAGCCCCTTTGCAGTGCTTTTCTCTCCTCAAGGAGCGCATCGGAACGACAGTGTGACTCTGAGCTGCTGGGTTCAGGTCCCCGCCCACTGGCCCTCGTACAACATTCAATAAAAAGCTTTGGGCCCAGCCAGTGTGGCCCGTGAACCAGGAGGTCACAGTTCAATTCCCGGTCAGGGCACAGGCCCGGATTGCGGGCTCCATCCCCAGTAGGGGACGTGCAGGAGGCAGCCAGCGATGGGTGTTTCTCTCTCACAGATGTTTCTATCTCTCTATCCCTCTCCCTTCCTCTCTCTCTAAAATCGAGAAAAACATATTTTTTAAATTTTTTTAATTAAAAAGAAAAAGAGAGCTTTGGGTGCCATTCCCAGCAAGAGAGCATCTGCGCCCTTGAATGGCTAATTGTGGTGAAAAACAAGTAAGAATGCCAGCACATTGGCAGCTTACCCGGGTCGTAGTGCGCCAGGGGACTGACCCTCTCGTTGGTTATGACCGTAGGACACAAAACACAATGGCCTTTTTCCCTGCCTTTGTCAGAAATGTTTTCCTGTCACATTGCGTTTGTCGCAGGTACAGTGGATTCTTACTACTCAGGGCAGTCCTTGTTCTACGGTGTAGAATCTACACAGTCGCCTGCACACTCCATTAGCAAGTGCTGAGCCTCTGCTTCCAGGTTGACCTAGAATCACAGGTGACATCTTTGCCAGCCTTGGGTCACAGCAAGGTCACCAGGCGATCAATGCACAGCCTTGTTTTGTGGGTGCTGCTATTGAAACACACCTTATGCAGTGCACAGCCGATAGATTAACCCTGAACTCAGGGCCAACGGCAGGGTGACGCACATGAGAGAACCCTGTCCGCTCACCTGTCTTCTCCCGGAGGCGCCCACCGCCGACCGGCACTTAGAAACTCGGGCGGCCCTTTGGCGTTGCCCCTGGATGACACCGTCACCGCGAAATCACCAACAAAAAGCATAAAAGTGCCCACAACGCGGCAGTAAATCTGCCGGGAAAAGGACACTTGTCCGTAAAAGGCAGCGCTCTGCCTCCTTCCACCTCAACGGGGACATGCGGGTCAGGGGACTGAACACGTTTGCCACTCAGATGACAAGAGTGCCCGGGTGCTGACATGGGGTGACGGGTAAGTTCACCGATACAGAACTCGCCAATAGTGGGGTTGCCTGTGTCTTGAGATATCATTTGTGGCCACAGGACTGTGAAACAGCTGTCGGTATTAGAGCCCGTACAAAAGAGGCACATGTATGAACATGTGCCCGGGCTTACATACAAGTATTTCAAAATCCTCGAACCAATGGGATATTTGGTTTCATCACAACGGGTTTCTTCGTAATCCTGTTTTATTTTTGTAGTTAAACTGTCCAGCCTGCCAGGGGTACCTGACGCAGGAAGGCCACATGGGCGGGGTGGGGGCTTGGAGAGGAACTCGGGCTGGTCGTGGGGAAGACAGCCGAGTCCCTGCTTCCCGGAGAGTCCCGGGGGGAAGTTCTGCTGAGAGACGTCTGTCCCGCTCACCGTCAGCCCGACGTCTCTGACTGGGGCCTCCTCTTCCCTCGATGGCTGTTAGCAGCCCTGGACCGTGTGCTCTGTGGACCCGCCTGGGGCAACGAAGGTTAGAGAATTGGCCTTGGGCACACCCAGTGGCAGGGTCAAGAGAGGAGCTGCCGGGCACATGGAGACTGGACTCCCCCTCCTCGTCCTGTGTGTGAGCCGGGGTCTCCGGAATCCTGGTTCCAACACGGCTTTCCTGGTGGGACCGCCTGGCAAAGGCAGCACCTGGCCTGGGCTGGTCGCATGTGGGTTCGCCGATCTGTGGTTTCCTGGCGAACTCGCAGCAACATGCTACTAGCCTGGGTTTCTCATCAGGTCTGAGCGCAGGCTCCATGCTTGCCCGGCAGGATAACATCCTCTCATCTGACGTGGCCGAGGCTCCAGCACAAACAGTCCCACAGACAAGGGCTCTTTTAATCTGCTCCTTTGCTGGGTGACGGGGTGGGAGGGCGGCTTTGGGAGCCTGCTCCTGGGTCACTTCCTAAAACCGCATTATCAGGACCTAATGGCCTCTACACGCCCGCAGCCTGTGGGTGGGCGGATTCGCAGAGATGTGAAGAGCACACAATGGGGCGTGCAAGGATCTGGTGGGGGGCGTTGTGCTCCTGGCTGGCCACTTTGTTCATAGTCAATTGCGGGGAGCATTTCCAGGAACCCTTGCCGCCTCAGAGCTCTGCAAATGGAGCTCACGGTTCACAAAGCTCAATCATTAAACGCACAGAGGGGCAGGGGGGCGCCCCCAGGGCGGGAGGGTGCCCCCAGGGCGGGAGGGTGC